AAAAAAAAGGCAATAAAAACTATTTGTCGTACCTCCTGACTCGTTTTTTTCATTATTATCACATTAGAAAGTACAAAGATAATGAAAAGAAATCAATTTTTTACCTTTAATGATGATTTATACTCGTTGCGATACAACATGATCAAGTATTCACTGTGAATCTTCTAACTAAATGTTTCATCTATTAAATGTACTGCAACCTTTTGATAAATGATTCGTTTAAATGAGAGAACAAGCAGCAGGAGTAAAGAACGACTTACTCTTCCTCTTCTGCTTTTCTCTTATCACTGCCATCACTTGTAAAAATGCGTTTAGAATGCTGCTAGGGTGAGAGACGACAATAATATTTACTTTTACTATTTCTATTTAATCATTAAATCTGCTTAGTTCACTTTGTTCTTTCTCGTTCGACATTATCAAGTTTTATATACAATACTATAAAACCTTGGATACTAAAGAAAAGACACATACATATATGCATACACACACACATACACACACACAAAAGAAAAAAATCTTACATTTTTGCCTTCATGAACATTCATCGTTGTTTTTATGTAATCAAGAGTGATCCGTATGTTGAACTATTTCTTGGCTGTTACATATTTGGTCTTTGTTATTATAGGGGTGACCGGCATAGATGCTATTACTACTATTCCTTATTATTTTCTGTTCTCTCAAAACGTTATCAGTATACTATAATACTAACATCTTCTCTCTTTCTGCTTCACCTCTCGGTCAGACTAGCTCATAATATCCCGATGTCTGCATATATATATATATATATATATAATATATGCATGTAAAAAAAGGAAAAAACATAGCTAGATAATAATAGCTACTAAGTTAAGATGAATATAATAGAGAAAAGGAAAATAGTATTCACAAATAATAGTTCTCTATGAAAAAAAGAAATAATAAATATTTTTCTTCTATAATATCAAAATAGATATTTTTAGAATAGAGAAAAGAAAAGAAACAACACAAAGTTTAATCACCTAGATCAATAAGGATAAAATCATTTACCATTTTTTTTTAAAGATTAACCTCTATATGGTCTGACGCGCCCACGAAGTTTTTTTTTTTTGATAAAATTAATCATAGAAGATAAATATGTCTATTTCTTCTTATCAAAAAGGTCATAATTTTCTTGAGTAATTTACTTATCCTTGTACCTGACAAGAATAGATTTTGATATTTAGTTTCTATATTTCAGTTGGTCTTTTGTATATATATAGAAGTAATGTGATAATTATTTACTCGTGAAAAAGAAAATAATCGTAATCGTTTTAATTTGATAATTTACCATGAATTGATGAATTTGATTTAAATATATATTGTATGATGAAGCCAAAAATCATCTTAGAAATATCAAGAAGAAGACATATTGTTTTGTTTATATCTCAATTTTTTCTAAATGTCTTATGTAAATTGATCAGAACAAGAAAAAAGACAACATTTGTATGATATAAATATTATCTGTCTAATCTTTCATAATATTTATTTATTTAAAAATAATTGTTAACATTTTTATGAGATTAATTTTCAACGATAAATATAGCAACCCAACTAAAAATTTAAATAACGATTGAAAATATTCAATCATAACATATATCTTATCCCAGAATTGAATAAAACAAAGAAATAACACTTTATTTAGTCAGCATCAGCAATCTCTGCAAGTACATCACCGTGACAGGCTTCTGGTTTACACCAACATGCTATTCTTCGACCTCGAAGTTCTATTTTAGCTCGTGATAATAAATCTGGTTGACGCATTATCCAATTACGATATTTTCGTATAACATCACTTCGATCACCATCTTTACCAATAACAAATGGATTTCCCCAATCAGATGGACGACCAATATAAACATCATAATTTGATTTTTTACAGTGCACTACTTGTGTTTTTAATCTATTTGTTATTTGAGGTGCAGCTGCTGTAGTTACAACATCATTCGATGTATTTATATTAGGAGTAGTAGTCGAAGAAGAAGAAGAAGAAGAATTCTTTGATTCAGCAGGTGATATTCGAAGTATTCGTCCATTTAAACCACATTGATGAAGTTCAAGTGCAGTATTAAATGCATCTATTGTATTAAAATATACAAAACCAAATCCACGACTCTGTTGTGTATTGTTATCATAAATAATTCGAACTCTTTTAACATTACCACATTTTTCATTGAAAAGTGCTTCTAAATCATTTTCAACTGTGTTATATGAAAGATTACCAACATGTATAGACAATGTTCGATTCGTTGAATTATTATTAGTATTCGATTGAAGAGTTTGTGTAGACGAAAAATTATTTGAATGTGCCATAATAAATTCAATGACTTGATGCTTACAATCTGCTTTTGCTTTTTAAATAAACAAATGTCATAATGCTTACGCAATTACACTATAGCATCACCTGTGACAAATGTCTGACTGTTCTTCTAGCGCTACAATCTATTTGTAACCGCGATGAAATCATCGAAGACACATGCAATATTTCAATCGTTCTGTTGATGTTTATTCACATGTATTATAATATATATATATATTATTGCATCATCTATATGTATTCATTCAATAGGGGTTTACAGAACACATGAAGCCTTAACGCGATCAAAATATTATACTGACTAATCATCTGATAGAATATGAATCATGAATAGAATCCGATTTTTATTTGTCATCATGTGATTCTAAACTTATCTTTTATTTTCATTACTGATATCGATTATCCATTATTCTAATTTGATGTATTGCATATTTCATTCTTATTATAATTACAAGAGGGTTTTAATTGAAAAAACAATTTTTCTTACAAAGAGGCCATCTGAAGTGATACTTGCCGTTTTCATTCATTCATATCTCTTTCCATTGCATATGTTGAGATAGTAAAAAGTCTAAAGGGAATTTTTCCCGATCCTTTTCCTTCAGCGGTTATTTCGATTTTACTGGATTATCGACCCATTCTTAGATAAATATACTTCAAAAAGTAAACTGTGGAGTTTCGAGCTGAAATTTTGCCTATGTATACGTTCAAT